CACCTCGCTTTTTCAGACCGATGAGCTTTGTAAAAATCGACGCGTTTCAAAAAGGCGGGGCATAGAGGAGAAACAATAATGTACAGTATGTGGAAAATAATGTTTTTTAAACTTTAAACCGCATAAACACATTTCATTACACCAAATACACAAAATAATGTTCTTTTTAGCAGCATCATATGACCCCTTTAAGCAATAAAACCTGTATGAATGAGTCTGCTCTTCCATCTAGTGGCTTTATATAAAACTACAATATATCGAAGAACAGCAACAACAAATCCATACATCATAATTTACAGCAATCACAAAACCGTGCATACGTCACGTACGTGTCACAAATACGTATTAACATTGTGGTACGTATTAAAACTCTCATCTGCAGCTTTGGAAGCTTTGTATTAAAATCACTAACTTGCAGCAGACTAGCCTAGTTTTTATGTTAGTCTGCAAATTATCTGCGACTACTGATCAAGCATTTCGGGAAATTGTATACGCCACTGAACTCAATAAATTTTAATTTGGTCCATCTGTTGTTTGCGGAGATTATAAACTTAAATGTAAATAAACTTTAATTTGGTCCATCTGTTGTTTGCGGAGATTATAAGCTTAAATGTAACAATAATAAACAATAAAAAAAAATACTCTGATAAAGAATAACACGGTAGATAAGCCAATATTTGTACAAATAGCATAATTCTAACGAACCAAATTAGAGTCGACTGACTTACTACAATTGCATTTTATAGCAAATGGCTTCCAAAAACTAACTAGGTCAATTTTCTTTTATTTTCATGTTGGATATTTGTTTTATCTCAAGTAAAATACTACCAGACTACAAATGAAAATAAATAAATAAAAACACTTAAAATATTTTCTAAAATACCCAACATTACATAAACACTCATACCAGTATTATGAGTCCATTCTATCTTTTAGTAGGAAGAACAACAAAAAAAAGCGCGAATCAGATGTCACGCAGATGCGTGACGTAGAATGTTCAGTGTTCAGCGAGCTAAGAAAGAACATGGCGACTGATGAGGATTCGGAAGATTATTTTGTTCGAGAAATAGAGAAAAATGACGGGTCTGTTTTAAGAATGTATCAGTGCAGCAAAGGGGACGTGGGCTGTGTAGTATGGGACGCTGCTATTGTCCTGTCAAAATACCTCGAAACGGAACAATTTTGCTGTGTTCAGTCTGGTGTTAGTACGTGGTCCTCTAAGAACATTGTTGAACTGGGCGCAGGAACAGGACTCGTGAGTCTCGTGGCTGCAACTCTGGGGTGAGTTATGAATGCTGTGCCCTATGAACTCCTCTATTAAATTAAAACCGATAAGATGTATATATGGCCATAATAAACAACTTAAGAAAATGTGTATTCTGTAGGATTTTGATGAATTCCTCTTAATAAATATTATTCATAAATGTGGTTGATTTAAAAGTATTTTAATAATGTGCACCCATAGGGCAAATGTCACAGTGACAGATCTGGAAGACCTGCAGCTTCTCCTTCAACTAAACATTAGGAAAAATCAGCATCTCATCCATACAGGCTCAATCACAGCCAAGGTACTGAAATGGTTTGTACTACATTTTATCCTACAGGATCTTTTTTGGAAGGGGTGTGTTTCCTTTCTTATAAAAAAAAAAAATATATATATATATATATATATATTAAAGTTTTCCTCCAGTGTGTTGTCGCCACATTATAGCTACCATGATAATAGTTCACCCAAAAATGAAAATTCGGTCATCATTTACTCTTCTTTATATTTTCCTAACCTGTATGATTTGCTTTCTACAGTGGAACAAAAATATCTTTGTACAATTTAAGTTATGGTAACACTTTAGAATAGGGAACACATTCACTATTCTCTCAATAAACTCATCATTTGCTGCATATTAAAGGGGTCATATGATGCTATTTTAAAGATCATTATTTGGTGTAACAGAATATGTTGACATGCTT